AGTAGATAAATTATCTTGAAAGTAGAATATTGAAAACATATGATAATTTCATGGATAAATTACATAGTAAAATATGAAAAATATTTAAAAATAATAAAAATATATACATCTATTCATATAAATAAAACGGGGAAATAATAAAATAAATATGTTAAATAATATCATATTTAAAATAAATGATGTAATATAAAAGTATTTAAATAATAATAATAATAATTAACGAAAATTAAAAGTTTTTATAGTATGTGCATGTAATAGAGAATAATGCATGAAGGAGGTGCAAAATTTGGTGGTGGAAACGGCCTAATAATTGAGGAGTGGGAGGCAGGCAGGCACTGTGTTTGGAATTTCCTTTTCCCAAAAAAACACTTTTCAACGCCCGACCACCACAGAAGAAGAGAGCGCCCTTTCCCTTTCCCTTTCCCTTTCCCTCTCAGATCTCGATTCCACCTTCCTCTCTTCCATTATTTTCCCTTTCTCCAACCACTTCGCAATCCCTTTCACTTCACCCCACCTTTTTCCTTCTCCTTCTCCACTAAATCCCATCATTTCCAACTCCATCCCAATTCCTCCCTGGATCGCCTTTTCCTACTCTCCCTTTCGTCTCCATGGCCGCTCCTCCTGCAAGAGCTCGAGCCGATTACGATTATCTCATCAAGCTTCTCCTCATCGGCGATAGCGGTAATTTATTCCATTTCTTTTGCATTTTTTTTCAATTGTTTTGTTTTTACTTTTATGTTAGAAATCTTCACTTCCTTTGCTGTAACTCGATTCGATCCGGTTTGTGATATGCATTATTTTGTTTTATTTCATTTTCTGGTGAATATTTGTTTAGGTTTAAAATTGACCTGATTTGTGTACTTACCGCTCTGTGATTTCTGGCAAAGTTGAGAACATTGTCCAGTCTAATACTGAAAAAGTGGCTATTTCTTTGCTTAGCTTATGGCAAGTATGTGACAACTCTTCACCAGTGCGTTTGTATCTCACTTTATTTTATTCTTCTTCATATTGTCAGGTGTGGGCAAGAGTTGCCTTCTATTGCGATTCTCAGATGGATCTTTCACTACTAGTTTCATCACGACCATTGGGTAGGTTATTTTTGAGTGAAACCGCCTATCTTGTGAGGAGTTGTGTTGCGTCTGATCTTACTCGGGTTTTGTTTTTCTTCAGTATTGATTTCAAAATAAGGACCATAGAGCTCGATGGCAAGCGAATTAAATTGCAAATATGGGATACAGCTGGTCAAGAGAGGTTTCGAACTATTACAACTGGTTAGTATTTAAGATTGCATGTCTTTTGTTTCCCAAAGTCATAGTGTAGTCTGTAATGTTTGGTGAGAGCTTGTGGTTCTTTATTCCCAACTTATAAATAAAACTTCTATTGCAATGTGTACTTCTCACAATCTTAAATTTAACAATGTCAATTTACTTAATTGTCTCTTTCAATTTGTTTATTTAGGAACTAATTGAATGTCTATTTTATTTTATTTTTTACCTCTGTTTTTTTATTCAATTTATTTTCATTTTTTTTATCTAATTTAGTTGTTTTCCATGGGTGCTATATTTGACAGGATGCGTTGCATAGTGGTTTAGAAACTGTATTTTTTTGGTACTAATAACTTTCTTTAGCTATAATTAATTGAGGCATATAGATTTCCCTTTATTCTGTAAATTGCTAAACTATTTTATTGTGAACCCGTTTGCTTTGACTTGTGTTAAAATTTCAGTCGCCAGTTTAAATGCCTAATATGTTTTCTTATATTGAGGGGAATTTTCATCATGCGTCGAGGGGAATTTTCATCACATCCCTCATATTAATATGAAGAGGTATCTAGTTCAATCATAAAAAATTGGAAATCGGCTTGTAACGTGAGATTTCAAATTTCAAAAAACCTCACATAGAGGAGGATTTCAAAAAACCCTTCACATCGAGTAGGATTTCAAAAAACCCTTCACATTATGGAGGATTTCAAAAAACCCTTCACATTATGGAGGATTTCATCACACTCTTCGTATCGAGGGAAATTTCATCACATCCCCTCACATTGAGGGAAAATTTTCATCAATGACGTGGTTGTATTCCATTCTTCATTAGGGCCTTGTTTACAAAATTATGTATATTATCCGGCTGGTACAATAGCTGGATCTTCAGTCTTTTCCCAATCATATGTTTTTATAATCATCAAGGCTTTTGAACTTATTAGGGTTTACTTTGGTACTATTTATGATGTAATATTTTGCTTTAGGGTGTTGCTTTGTTTGTCAATATGATTTCTATCATAATATCATTTGACTATCCTAGTTTTTTCAAACATGCAAATTTAAGTTTCTTCTCATGTGTTTATTGACTTTAATCCTTCTTTTGCAGCTTATTACCGTGGAGCCATGGGTATTTTGCTTGTGTATGACGTCACTGACGAGTCATCTTTTAACAGTAAGTTCTCCTTCCTCTAATTTTTCAGTTTGCGTCATGCATCTTCTATTATCCCCAACCCAAATATTGTTCTCCGATTTGTGTTTCCTTGAAGCAGCATGTATTAGTTGAACAAGTATTTTCAGTTAAATATAACTTTTCAACTTTATAATTTGGGGAGATTCTCCACTTTTTGATGGATTTTAAGACGTAACAATTTGACTTATTAATGCCATTGGTGTTTCCAGACATTAGGAATTGGATACGCAACATTGAACAGCATGCTTCCGATAATGTCAACAAGATATTAGTGGGGAACAAGGCTGACATGGATGAAAGCAAAAGGGTTTGCCCTACTTACTCTCACTTGTTCTTCGTCTTTTGATTATGCTTGGATATGTGTCCCCTACGGTTACTACGCACTATTTGATGCGGGACAATGTTATCCTTAGGCTGTTCCAACTTCAAAGGGCCAAGCTCTAGCAGATGAATATGGCATCAAGTTTTTTGAGACGGTAAGTGGCACTATGGCACTTATTGCTCTTGCTGATCTAACCATAATTTTTGATCTGTTTTGAATACTGAGATTATGCTTATGCAGAGTGCAAAAACTAACATGAATGTGGATGAGGTTTTCTTTTCAATAGCCCGGGACATCAAACAAAGACTTGCAGATAATGACTCAAAGACTGAGGTTTTTGTTTTGAACTTTCTCCCTAGTGATGATGAGTGTATCTTGTGACAATTGACATTGCATGATTTTATGATTAAAAACTAATTGATCAATGCAAGATTATTCATTCTTATTTTTAGACTAATACAAGGTTTTGTGTGTCGTTGAATCAGAAAGCCCTAACTGAATTTAATTCTCATAGTTTTTGCACTAAGTTTTGGTTTGTCCTGGTGCAGCCTTCGACACTGAAGATTAACCAATCTGAGCAGGGAGCAGGGTCTGCTCAACCGGCCCAAAAATCTGCTTGCTGCGGTTCCTAAAGGGAACTCTAGCGGATACATTTGACTGAAAAGGTTAATTTTGTGAATGACTTCCATCGGTGCTTGTATTCTTATTATGTCACAGTTGTTATACTCATTCGGTGTGAATGGTAGATACTGCCCATGTCGGCAAATTAATTATATAACAATTTACTGTTGCCTGAAACCAAGTTGCCGCTTAGTCGGTGCCCCAATTTTCTATGCCTTCGCTTTCAGAACCGCACATTGAGGCCATTTAGATCTACCATTTAACATGTTATATTCTCGTTGGTAACCCTAAATTTTACTAACACTTACATATTGTTTATGTTTCTATAAACTTTTTTCCCAACACTTTTTCTTGAAGTACAATGAAATTAACTTTCAAAACTGTCTATATATTGAATGATATTTTTTTTGAAGGTGTTTATATATATATATATATGTTTCGCACTGGAAATAATATTAGGATATTAGGGTTTGTCTTTTAAGTGTATGTTTTAAACTTTTAATTTTAATTTTTTTATATTTTAATTTGAGTTTCAATCAATATAATATTTTAAATAAAAAATTACTTATTAAAATAATATAAAAAGTGATTTAAAAACTTTATTAATATAGAAAAAAATAAATAGTATTTGTTAAAAATATATAAGATTAATATCTATTAAAAATGGAAAATTCATGTATTATTTTATTAAACATGTAGATAAATATCAATTTCAAAATTAAACAAAAAAAATGACTGTCATTTAGACTACCTCAAGGAGAGATAAATGCAATTTCCACAAATATAAAAATAAGGTAGTATTTTGTAATTAAAAGTTAAACTAGAAAATATTTTTAAAATAAATATATTCTTAATTTTTGAAAAAAAAAAAGCTTTTCTCTCGTACTAAGCTGGTCTGAAAACGGACTATGGGAGATGCGATGTAATTAAAAATGCTTTTCTCTCGAACTAAAAGTGATGAAAGGAAAAAAGTTCATATGAATAATTTGAATCATTTTGATTTTGCATTTCGCATTAATTCTCTTAAAACCTGGTCTCTTATCTAGACATATAAACTTAAAAGGCCATTTACTAGCGAATAGAAATTGTTCTAAAGAGTCCACTTCAGACAAGTAGACTAGAAATGAAGAGGTTAAATATGTTAATAACAATGGTTGAAATAAAAAAAGACGTTTTGATGTTAAATATAGATTAAAATTTATTTGTAAAAAACTCAATAAAATAATCGCTTTTGCAGATAAATAGAATTTGATAAATTTCTATATTACATATATGGATACATAAATTATTCATTGTCGCACCTATCTATTTTAAATGAGAATAAGTATTAGGTTACGCTACTAGAGTTTGCTAAAATGGTATGTTGTAGTGATGTCACTAAACTCACTTGTCGCGAGAGGAATAGTAAAAGGATGAACGGTGGCATGCGTATTTGTCCTCAAAACAGAAAATATAAGAATCACCTGATTTCATGTAAATTCAATAAGAAAATATAAATATAAAACCAAGAATGTAAAACCAAACTAGTTAAAATTTCCAGCAACAATAAATAAAATAAAAATTTAATTTGTGGACTCAATGGTCCACTACACATACACACATACAGCTATTCATCAAGGATGTTTGGGTGTTCCAACCAAAAGGTTGGTCCAATAATGTCAATATGTTCTACAATGACCTTCCCATTACTTTCAAAAGTGTTTCCATTCTCATGATGAATTAGATCAGTGTCTATCTTATCCCTATAAACTGAGGATCCTTGTCGGAACATGACTGGTAATTTATTGTAGTCAATATCTAACTCTTCGATTTTCTTTTGCAACTGAGCACCTTTTAAACTATTTTGGGCTTCCCTTTTGCTTTTTCCAGATGCAACTAGCTTCCAGAAACAAGAGTTGTATTGATTGTTGATGTGACAATCCACTTGTCTCCATGAAAGGTAGTCCCTTAGAATCTCAGTAGATGGATAGCACACTGCTCTTCCGTCAAATGAAGGAAGGTACTTTAACTCACTTTGTGGGAAGAACTCACTCCATCTCATCACATATGTGGATGTGAAGAAAGACACAATTGTTGAAACTATTTTACTAGCTCTCCTTTGATAAAGATCACTGGTTTTCTTAAGAATAAAACTGTACTCATCACTAACCCCATAGGCAAAGACTATATCCTCCCAAAACTTTTCTAAGACAGCAACTGCACACAAATTCATTAAGTTAAGGGCTCTAGAATCATTTGGCTTCACAAATTCATGTAGCTCAGAAAATCTGTGGAAGTGGCATCCATCTATACGAACTACAATCCATGTAGACGGCATCAATTTGATATCAGATTCGAAGGACCTCACATACTCTGGTGTCACATTGTTAATCTCTTCAACAAAACCACCAAAATCCTTCAAAAGAACAGTATGCTCATTCCAAAATCTCTTACCAGCTATTTTCTTGGAATGCACAGTGATAATCTTCCTTCTTTGCCTTTTAATTGGATCACCATTATCTTTGTATTTCACGATATCCTCAACTAATGTCTTCAGAACACAAGACCCTTGTCGGAATATTGGCTCCAATGTATTGTAATTGACATTGAACTCATCAAATAAAAGATTGTTTAGCTCACTTTTGTCAAAACCTTTGATGATATCCCATGCTTCATTCAAATTCATTCCCCGTTCAACAAGACGCCAAAGACATTGCTCATGTTGATCACTCAAATGACATATATTCTGCCGCCACAAAAGATACGCTTGAAGGGCTTCCGTGGATGCACAAGGTATGACTCGCCCGTGGAAGGAAGGAGAACATTGTAGTTCCTTGTGTGGGAAGAATTCACCCCATTTTCTCACAAAGACAGACGAGAAAAAAGATATAACGATGGATAACACTTTGCTGGCACGCCTTTCGTAAAACTTGGAGGTTTTCTTGAAAACGAAAGTATACTCATCACCGAAACCGTATGCAAGGACTACATCTGCATACTCTTCAAGAACTTCAACAGCACAAGAGTTCATCAACTTCAAGGCATTTACATCATAAGGTTTATGGATGTTACAGGCATTGATCCAAACAAGGATGATATTGGGAAACATGACCTCGTCTTCAACTTCAAAACACTTGACATACTCATATTTGCTGTTTGCCATACTGCATGCAAAAGTTTACACATATATGCTCTTTCTTCTCATAAAACAACAACTATCATATGCTTGATTGCTTTGCCCTTGTACACGGAAGGGACAACCAACCACCTACTCACTATTATCGATAAAACCAATGTCAATTATTTTAAATCAAAATCTTCAATCTCCTCTGATCAATCACTTCAAACACGACTTGGAAGCACACCAACAGGTGCAGTGGGTGGCAGTAAAATCTGTAATTTAAAAAGAATTAGTATTGTTTGTGAGTAGCAATGCATTCTACCATTATAAAAGGTTTATTAGTTATCAGTGCACACAAGTTAACAACAACAACAACAACAAAAGTCTTATCCCAATATAAGCACACACATTCATGAACACCAATTACAACTTAAATATTTAGGGTTTGCCAACCAATTCGATTAGACGAGAGAGGAAGGTAAACCTGGTCTGGAGAGAACAAGTAGCGAATTTGACACCAATGTAGGAAGGCTTCAAGTAGTACAACTCATTGCGAGTGAATGGGGACAGATGATTCTGCTTATCAATTGGAGACTGAATTGCGAACAAACGTTTTGGAATGATGTTAGAAATCCGCAAATTAACGTTAGGTATTGTGAATGTAGGGGGTTCTTGGGGTGTGATGTTTGATTCCAGAATTTGGGGATTTTAGGGTTCTTCGGCTTTCAGGGGTGGCAATTGATAATTGTGAAATTGGGTCGTTTGAAAAAGACATCCCATTTTATTTATGGGCAGGCCCGTGATATTTATTGACACTTTTTTTTCTCTTTCCACTCCCACTTTTTTTTATATTTTTTGTGAAACTAATTTTGGTACACATTTTTTTTTATATAGAAATTAATTTTTGTTTTCATATAAATATAAAAAAGGATAAGACTTAAAATCATTTTCAAAATTAAAATATTTCGACCTTAATTTATGATATTGATAGCATGATTTGATTATTTTTCTATAACTAATTTATAATTTAAGTATAAGAGTTAACTTTGGACACAGTAATATGATTTGAAATCTAATTAATAATAATTTATCTATTTAAATTAATTTATAATTATCTATGACTTATTTTCCATGGTTTTATAATCAAATTTTGAGCGTCAAATTCCATTTAAAAATAATTTATATTTTAAATTTATTTACACATGGAAAATTAAAACAATATAGGTGCAAGAAGAGTGATACATTAATTATTGAAAAAAAGTAAATGCAAGAAAATGTTTTCTATATATTAAGGCGTGTTTTAATTTTTCATGACTTTTCTCTTACCTTTTTTATTTTTTAATAGTGATTTTTCCATGTGAAATTATTGTCAGAAAGAAAAAAGTAGTTCAATTGAACTTTTTAAAATATTATAAAAATACTTTAGTCAAACTTGGAATAGCTTGAGTTAAATTGATAATCTATAAAAAGTAAAAAAAAAAAAAGAGATAATACTTATATTTGATTAATGGTTATTTACTGTAATAGGTAAACCGAGCCAGAGATTTTTTGAGCATAAAAATAATATATATATATATATATATATATATATATATATATATTATTTTTTGTCTAAGTAATATTGAAATCGCAATTCTGAATAAGACAAGGAAAATTCTATTAAAAATTAAAAGTGTAGGTTGGAGGAAACTTAATTTTTAACAATCGATTAAAAGTGACACTCATTAGTGACATTTATATCAAAGTGAACCAATAACGTACTCAACCCAATTTCTCAAGCAAATAATTGAGCAAGATGAGAAATTGGCTTAGGTCTGATTGGTCACTTAATCCATTTTAAAATAGTTAAATGAATTGATAATTTTAGTTTTTTATTTCCATATGTTAGTAGAAAATCGAGAAATATGATCGATAAACGAACGAAAGAAATTCAAGAAACAAAGTGTATGATAATTTTTTTGATGTCCAATTATAAAGAGCGTAGCACATAAAATCGAAAGGTAGAGTCGGAAGGGTAGGAGTAATAATCGAAGGCTTAACAGAACAAACCAAGAAATTTGAAGTATATGAAGTTAAGGTTAAAATGAATCGATGCCAGGTATGCAAAGTTCTCGATTAAGTTGAAATCGAAGGGAAGGCTCGTTTACGTGTACATCGAAACCTCGGTTAAACCTCGAAGGGAAGTAGTCAAAACGCACGTATAAAGAGCAGTTTTGAAATCATAGAAAAAGTGGGAGATCGTGAGAACGTGGGAAACTATAGAAGATAAACTGCCATACGCACGTAGAACGTGGTAGCAGCCGCGTTAACTGCTCTCGGCAAGCTTGAAGGATGCTCTATAAATAGAGCAAAGGAGAAAGGAACGGGGAGCGGAAATTGGCAGAGAACAGGATCAGTAGTGAAAAGTCTACCGGAGAAACGACGAACACCATGAAGCTTCTGGCAATCTGGATTTCCTTGCTCACTGAGTACATTTACCGCTTTCTGTATTTTCCTTGGTAATTTACTTTGATGCAACTTAAATTCAGCAGTTTTATGTTTCTGTATTTCGATTCCTTGTCCATTTCAATTCAATGAAAATTTGAGTTTCTGCATTTAGATTTCCTGTTATTTAACATTCTGCAAATCTCAATTTCCTGTCATTTACTTTTCTGCAAATCTCAATTTCCTGTCATTTACTTTTCTTGCAATCTCGATTTCCTGTCATTTATATTCGCGTTGTTTTCGATTCCTCGCTGTTTACAATTAATGCAAGTTTGGGGTTCTCGCATTTTTCATTTCCTCGCAATTTAATATTCTGCTTTTCGATTCGATAGTCTAAATTCTTTCGATACTTTAAATACAAAATATCAAAAACAGCATTTTCGATATCCTGGAGTTTTCGATTCTCATACACGTTTTCGATTGAAAATCAAATTGCTAGCCTAAGTAAAAAGAGCTTACGTGGTAGAATTTTGATTAGGACCAAAACACCCTTAGAATCGAAATCGATCGAAATTCCACCAGAAACAAATTGGCGCGCCAGGTAGGGGGTCTTGTGTTGAGAAACACAAAATTGGTTAGTTCGAAATTGTATGAGATTAAGGAGTGGGAGAGTCATGAGTCAAAGTTCATCAAATAACCAAGGTAACAGTGAGGGATTAAATGTGTCACACCCACCAAATACTGGGGGGCAAAGTCATAATGATAACATACCTGTAGTATCGACAACTGTGAGCATGTCGATACCTGTGAGTAGTGAACAAAATTCAGGTACATTAGCAAACACCCAAGTAGGATCTAGTACGGTGATACCAAATAATATGCAAACTATAGGAAATCCCACAACCACATATGTAGGGCCACGTATGAGTGTAAGACCGCCCGGGTTTTCACTTAATAATGTGAGTGGGGCTGGAACTTCTTCAATGCATAGGAATTCGAGGTATACCTTAGGAATGTCCCAAACACTAGGTATGCCACAAAATTTTGGAATCCCTCCGAATTTAGGGACGTCGCAAAACTTAGTAATTCCCCAGAATTCAGGGAATGGACAAAATGTAGGCACACAACAGAAACCCACATATATCAGCAAGTATCTCGAGGAAAAATTAAAGAGGGACATGATTTCCTTGTTAAGAGAATATAAGGACTGCTTCGCTTGGGAATACGAAGAAATGCCTGGATTGGATCGAAGTCTCGTCGAGCATAGATTACCCATCATCGAAGGTAGAAAGCCAGTAAAACAAGCACCGAGAAGATTTGCACCTGAGGTGATGAACAAAATCAAGGAAGAGGTCGAGAGACTCTTGAAAGCCAAATTCATCAGAACTGCCAGGTATGTCGATTGGATTTCTAATATTGTACCCGTGATTAAAAAGAATGGTAAAATAAGAGTATGCATCGATTATCGAGACTTAAACTTAGCTACTCCTAAAGATGAATATCCTATGCCAATAGCTGATATGCTAATAGATGCAGTAGCTGGTAATGAAATGTTAAGTCTTTTAGATGGTTATTCAGGATATAATCAAATATTTGTGTCTCGAGAATGATATAGCTAAAACAACTTTTCGATGCCCGGGGCATTAGGTACTTATGAATGGGTAGTGATGCCATTTGGATTAAAAAATGCTGGAGCCACATATCAGAGAGCAATGAATTTAATTTTTCATGATCTTATTAATGATTTTATGCAAGTTTACATAGATGATATCGTTGTGGTATCGAAAGAAAAACATCAACATCTGAGCAATTTGAGAAAATCTTTCGAGAGAATGAGAAAATATGGATTAAAAATGAATCCCTTGAAATGTGCTTTTGGTGTATCTGCTGGTGAATTTTTAGGATTTATAGTACATGGAAAAGGTATCGAGATCGATAAAAATAAAGCCAAGGCAATAATAAATACCTCTGCTCCAAAAACTAAGAAAGACTTACAATCTTTTTTGGGAAAAATAAATTATTTGAGACGATTTATTTCTAACCTGGCTGGCAAAACTTATGTTTTTTCGTCTTTGTTAAAATTGAAAAAAGAAGCAGAGTTTAAATGGAAAGAGGAACATCAAGAAGCCTTCGAGCAAATAAAAAAGATGCTGACAAATCCTCCGATTATGATCCCAGTGAAGAGAAACAAGTCATTAAAGTTATATGTATCCGCATCAGATCGAACAATAGCCAGTTTATTAGCACAAGAAGATGAAAATGGTGTAGAATGTGCTGTGTATTATCTAAGTAGAATTTTAAATGATGCTGAAACTCGATATAGTGATATCGAGAAATTAGGATTATGCTTGTATTTCTCTTGTACAAAACTCAAGTACGTAATGAAGCCTCATGATGTAATGGTTTATTCTAGAAATAATATTTTGAAGTTTCTTTTGTCGAAACCAATTATGCATAATAGAATAGGAAAGTGAGTGTTAGCTTTGACAGAGTTCTCATTATCCTTCGAATCTTTAAAATCGATAAAAGGTCAAGTAATTGCCGATTTTATGGCTGAGCATACAGTTGACTCCACTGAGAATTTGTTTATTGAAATAAGTAAATGGATAATGTATTTCGATGGTTCAAGTACATCAAATAAATCTGGAATAGGAGTTCTGATTATTTCTCCAAACAGTATTCCGACTAAGTTATTATTTGAGGTTCAACCTATGTGTTCGAACAACGAAGCTGAATATGAAGCTTTGATAGCGGGCCTCGAGACTTTAATCAAATTAAAAGCTCGACATGTGGTTATAAGAGGTGATTCGCAATTAGTGATCAAACAAGTGCGAAAAGAGTATAAATGCATTAATACCAACTTGATCAGATATTTGGAAAGAGTAATGACTTTAAGTAGAATGTTCGATGACATAATATTCGAATATATTCCTCGAGAATTCAATCAAGAAGCAAATGACTTAGCACAAATTGCATCGAAGTATAAGATATTCCCGGAAAGGTTACAAGAAATAATTCAAATCAAAGAAAAATTACCTCAAGAAAATGAGATTCTGTACATTAATGACTTAGATGATCAAGATTGGAGAAAATCGATTATAAATTATTTGCAAAATCCCAATGGGAAAATTGACAAGAAAATTAAATATCGAGCAGTGAAATATGTTTTG